TACCGCATGGCCAAGGACTAAGGAGCTTGGTCAATGTTGTTGATGGCTATGCGAGCTCCCACAATCCAGATGAGAGGGCTGTAAATTGAGATGAGGTTCAAGCTATAACAGGCCGATAGAAGGATACCCTTGTACTTTGCCAAGACTTGTGTATATGCATGGGCGTAAGAGTTAAGAGTAGTAGGCTAATCGGCTGTGTGATTTTACTCCCGTACTTTGGTCAGCAGGGGAACCTGACAATATACGAAGAGGGTTTCGTAATAATGGTCCGGTAAGACAACCCGAGTTGCAGGCGGGAGGAACCCCAATAGAATGGCTGTATATGTGGGGTACGTTAGGATTGTCTCAAATTGCATTACTGGAATGTTTCCAGTGGATGGAGCAAGGAGTGGTTTTAAGAACATTGTTACAAAGGTTTATTCCACTGGTCCTATCGTTGAGAGGAGAAAGGATGAGACGTACTTCCTGTCTAGGTCAAGGTGATTGTACATATGTGAGAGGTATGAGAGACTTAGGAGGAGACCTCGGCGTGTGTGAGGTAGACTCTCTACCCTATAAATGTAGTATGCGAGACTTGTGTATGAGTGGTTCGTTGTGTTGCTTGGTTACTTAAATATGTCTTGAGTTACTTCGATCCCTCTGATTTGAGGGGTGTGATTACGTCCTGACCAAGACTGTTTCAGTTTTAGCTCTGGTCAGGGAGGGCACGATTTTTGTGTGTGATACTGGTACTAGTTTGAGTTGAGATTGTTCAACTCTATGTGTATATACGTAATTCAAGACCATATTGGTTCGCTTTTGAGTTGGGATATTACGCCCCTTAGTGTATATTGAGTTGAGATTTTATCTGAGACTATTCCCCTGTATATGACGATCACAATCACTCTCACATGTGTGATTTTATCCTGATGTATGATGACTTTGTGTGAGAGATGTATGGGAAACATCTCGTGTATTGTGTATTTTGTGAATGTGAATGGATGTGAATTGCCTACTCTTCGATATACTCGTGCGATCTGCACACGGACGGTTGATAGGGCCGGGTATAAGGAGAGGGAGTGCAGTCTGTTTTGTGAAAAGTGTGAGAATCCAAAGGGATTTATGAGTCTTTGAGACTCGAATGCTTGCCATGCCAAATGTTTATTGTTGAGTTGTGATGAGGACCCATAAGTTGGTCTCTCAGTTTGAGTTGGTACAGACGCCTTTTGTAAGAAGGCAGTCTTTTGCTTATTGGAAGACTCATCTTCAGAGAGGGAAGATGTTTTAATGAAAGGTCGTGTGAAAGTTCATCCTAAAGAGAGAGGGATGGCTGGGAGACCTATTGAGTGACACCTCCTTCGTATGAAGGGTGGTTAATAGATTCAGTGGCATGGTAAGTTGGTTTTGGATGATAAAGTCTGACGAGGAGGCCCACGTTTTTGCTTGGCCATTGGTGGAATTTTTGTAAAGGTCGCAAAAAGCTTCATTGGGAGATGTCTTCGGGATGTGTGGTCTTCTTGCTCTGATCAAGTGAGGGGGCCACGGCCTTGCGGACCTGGCGGTGATGTTGTTTTGTGATAGTGGAGAGGCTATCGTGTTCTCTCTGTGTTGTCCCACTGAGGGCTGGTAAATGTCTCCCTTTTATGTGTGACAGACCTTTGCGTAGTCCCGCAGTAGGCCTGTATTGTTGCGACACACCGTCCAGCCACTTGTGCTAATCTTGGGGCATTTATGAGAGACCTAGCTAGGGGTATAACTAGCATCACTGAGGTGCAACCCTCAGTGTTGGCTGCTGATCGGTGCAACCTGACAGCGGGCCCACGTCTCGCACAAGTGGTTAATGGGGACCCCCACTTTTCGGCCCTGAGTAACCATGAATGATCCTGAAATTAGGGTTTCGGGGTTAAATTTTGTGTTTTTTTGGATTTTTTTTTTGGCTGTTTTTGTTTTTGGACAAGCTTGTTGTGTGTCAAATTTTGTGTCATTAGGGTTATTAGAATTTGTGCGGTTGATCATCCTGAAAATCCTGAAATTTTGATGAATTTTTTTTTGGCAAAATTGCCTGGAAATGCACTTTTGAGGTGCTGTTTTATATGTTTATATTTTTTTTTTTTTTTGGGGGGGGGTTATAATATGTTAGTAAGAAGTGCACTCTATACATTGGTGTGGAGTTTGTTTGAAATGACCTTGTGGTTTTCTTATAAACTGAGGTGAAAAATGGGGGGTCGGTTAACCGGCTCCCCACAGAAGGGGTAAAGACTTAAAGGGGTGTGGCCACCAGCGATGGCAACAAGACGTGTTCAAACGGTAGGCCAACCTCGGTACCCCGGACCGCCCTGGAATAACGGCAGAGGATGGGAAGTGTCCCTTCCGTCAAATTCCAACTTTCGGGGATTCGACGTAGAATGGCGGGCCCTGACTTTGGGGAGAGACAACGCCTTCATGTTGGTGGAATGTCGGTGGACGGGGATGAGATTCAACCGGGGACCTCGGGATGATTTGCTTTCCAATTTAGAGGTAACCGGGGTCGTGTATCTACCCGAGACCGGCTGGCACTCGTTGGGGATAGGAGTAGCGCAAGGCCACGAGCTGACCCCAATCTTTCGAAGGGCCGACCGGGCGTTGACACAAATAGGGGGTAGGAGAAACGTGGACTTACTCACCAGGGTGGAAATGGGGGGCTGGCGGGAGTTCAAGGCACCGACAAGCCCGCTGAGATGAAGGGTCCCCCGATTCATGATAGACCTCTTCTTCGGAAGCCTCGCAAGGGCGCAGGATCTGGCAGACTCGGCAATAATCTGGGTAGACCACTTCCCCTATCAGACCATCGGGATGTTCAATGACATTGCTGTGGAGCATGGGCCGTTCTGGAAAAACTGGACCCATGAATTGCTGGAAGTTATTAATATCATGGCATTGCGTTGCCATGGCTAACCTGGGCGGAATACAAACACATAATCCGAAGGGAAATCGAGATAGGAGAGAGTTATCTAGCGGGGGTGTCTCAACTGCTCGAGGAGCCCACCGAACCGGAAGGGCCACGAGGACGAGAGCGGGACTAGCACCTGGAGGCAAGCCGATAGGGCAAATCGAGTATAATCCGCTACATAYAGGGGCCCGCCAATGGAAATATGGAAGACCTTCGGGCCCGAACGGTCGAAAACTCGCTACGGGATAAGGGGGAAGTATAGACTCGTAATGATTGTCATGACCCTGGAGGTTGAAAAAGGGAATACTGCTCGGGAAACTTTCCCTAACGGGATGCCCAACCGGGACTCCTACTCGCCGGCACGGTGAAACAGGGGCACTCTAAACGAGCCTGTTATGAAGGGAACTAAGTCATGTCCCTTAGCTCGATAGGGCGGCAGGGCTGGCCGCGACTCCTTCTTAGGGAAGCAATCAGAGGACGGAAATGGGGTCGGGGCTACTCTTGGAATAAGATAAGCCAAAGAAACCGGAATCTATGGAACCTAAATGCCTCGCACTGCCTGTGTCCTGAGGAATCCTCTGGCTTATGCAGAACTAGGCAAAAATGGCGACAGAAGATGAAACGGATAATCGTAGGAGCGAGGGAGGAGCAGGCTTAGGAGGCAGTGCCGTACAGAGCGAAAAGGGTCAGAAAGACAGAATCGATAAATCCAAATGGTACCAAAGGGAACCGGAAGGAAATCTCCTCAGGGAAAAGCTTGGGGAAAGTCGGGGGAAGCAGGCAAGGGACCCAGGAGACCGAGGGCAGAAATAAGGACAGGACAAGCCCCCGAAATTCAGAGGGAGCTGTGTCTAAGAAAGTGAGGGTCACGGATGCGAGGCACAAACTAGCGAAAATAGAAAAAAGGACCGCGGAGTACAAGGCAAGATTGATAGAGGAAATGATGACTGGGAACGAAGAAGGCCCCTGCAGGAAGAACCTCGGGAAGAACGAAAAACCGGCCGAGGCGGAATTGGGCAAGGGGATAAGGGTAGTGACCATGGAGGAACACCAAGCAAGAGGAGGAAGGAGAGAGAGAACTCCCTGGGGATGGAAGCAGAGAAAGCTACGAACCCGCCAACCATAGATTGCAGGGCTAGCCGTCTACCGACCACGTCGGCAGTAACGCGAGGATGCGAAGGGCTCTGGAGCCTTAGGGAAAGGGTGTTGGGATGGTTCGACCCGGAAGGGACTGCAAAGACTAGGGAGGGACAAAAGGCCGGCAAGGAAAGGCAGGATACCAGTACGGCGGGCG